TGTTTAAATCATTATTATGATCTTCAGGGGTGAGTTTGGGAGTCCGTACCCTATGTAAAGTTCGGAAACTGTGTGGGTTTGGTCTTTGCCATACAGGTGCCTGGAAACAAGTAATTCCACAATCAAAAGAGATCTCGGAGGACCTCAGAAAACGAGTTATTGATGCTCATCAGTCCGGAAAGGGTTACAAAACCATTTCGAATGTTATTGTGAAGAAAGTGTTGCACTCTCGAAATGGGTGCTCCAAATCGAGGGCAAACACATTTATTGTCGTTAATCTGTAGAATGCAACATCACGTGTGTCACACACAGCAATTTTCACCGAGTCGCCATTAACCACGTGACTGGTGTACACGTCCGGTTAATCATTAACCCTGCCAGCCCCCCCACAGGCCCAACTCAGTCATCACATGCTGGTGTACACACGTGCATTGATGTCCTGCACAGCACATAAGGACGTATTAAAAAAGTGGTCCATTCCTAATGTGCCACAAAGGCTATTTCCCGAAACGCTGTTGTGAGTGGATTAGACTGCACAAAAACGCGTGAACGGTGGCACGCAGTCCAATGCACACTCTGCGCTAATCGCGCTGATATATATCAGCAGCAAAAGGGAACAATAATAAAATGTATGGGGTTTCTTATTATTAAAGGGCTTTCTTGAAAATGTATTTGTGGTCCATCTCGGTCAAGAACTGCACCGACAAAATATTCACAGACGTTGCATTGCTATTGGTGAACTGTGCGGTGAGTTGCATTGATATTGGAGAGTAAATTTGTAAACCCACGTGTGCGGACTCATGAGCGTGATGCTTGGCCCCTCGCATTCGTGGTGAGTTTTCTCCAGTTTCTCCGGTTTCTTATGAATCAAATATTATTGACAACGCGTCGGACAATGGTCCTATGAATGCCATCGCCCGAAACTTCACCTATCATAGTTTTTTCTTCCTTTCAAGGAAGTGTTTTGTTTGTTGTTAGTCGTTTGAATCTGTAACACAGTTGGGTAGGTGGTTTTGTTGCGTGGCATGGACGCACGTTTCCCACGCGCGAACGGGCCATGGCAATCCACGAATCTGGTGCACAACAAGCACCTACGATTAGAACACACATCGTCTCCTGCTATACTCTACTGTAGTGACCGTTTGCATCCTGTGTATGTGTTTCTTTCTGTAGTGGCATCTAAAGTAGACATGTGCTTCCGGACGCTTCATTTTTCCGTTACAAAATAAAAAAAATCAGAACGGAAATGCCAGCAGTTTTGGCGAGGCTGCGTGGCACTAACTTTCCGTGTGTGTGTGTGTTCATTCGCGTGTGTGTGTGGCAGGGGCGACGCGGTTCGTGTGTTGTTCCCCGAACCCGGCGACCTGAGTTCGATTCCCGAATATCTGAACCGTTCCTGGGCCTTCCCTGAGGTCGACATAGTCTCAAATGACTACCTGGTGCGGTGTGTAAGCATCACCACTCGGGAGACAAAGGCGGCCGTGCGTGGTGTTGGCAAACCACGAACCTCGTGTACTGTTCTGGCCTTCATAGGTGCTCACTAACAGCAATTTCCCCAACAGTCTGTTAAGGATATACGGGGGATCTTTGTCTTTGAGGCGGACGGGCGTGGTGCTGGCCACACCATCCTCCCACGTGCGCCTTAATAGATGCTCGCAAAACAGCACTTTCCCTACAACAGTCTAAATGGCAATATGGGAGACACACGTTGGTCTTTGCGTGGTTGTCTGCATGTATCTGCGTGCGTATATCTGTCTCTGTCGGGTGTGTTTGTATGTACTCTATGTGTTTGGGTTGAGTGTTGGCATGTATGTGAACCCACGTGTGCGTTCTGTGTCTCGTGATGTGTTTGTATGTGTAGTGACACAGCGCTAACTGTTGTACAGCAGCTGCAACTGCAGGTAAGAAGACAGTGCACACACCGCTGAGCATGTACACGGTGGATGTGCCGGCAGGGCGGAGGAACTGGGGCAAGGGTCACGGTAGACCTCGTGGGGAGACCCCTGGAACCCTCTGGAACCCTCTGGTGGGTTCGGAAGTGAGAGAGGCGCGGCTCGGGCCGATTGGAATAGAAGCAGTGGAGAGCTCCGGGCTGCCGGTTCTGGGAGTGGACTCGTCTCGTCGTCGCTGTCGTCTTCGCCCGATCATTGCACGGCCGGACAGTAAGTTGGCTGTCCTGGTCGATGCCGTCGGTGCAACGAGGACGGGGTCGTGTCTGGGCCGCGTCGTACGGCAGCGTGGTCGTGAGAGAGAGGGGGCCGGAGTTGATGGCGTGGACATAATAAAGGAAAGACGGTGCCTCCTGCGACTACCTCGTCTCCGACTGAGCGTGTGCGTGCGACACACGCCACCCGCACGCACAAGCCTCGAGAGGAAGGAACAAGAGACCTACGACACTACATATGTATGCGAGGAGTCAGGGACGTGTGGGCAGAGGAGGCAGGGGAGGCACAGCCTCACCTGTCATACTCCAATGAAAATAGCTGTTACGAAAAGTAAAACATAATAAAAGAAATGAAGATTTTCCACTGAGGGGCCGTTCATAAATGATGTCACGTGATTTTGGCCGATTTTTTACCCCCCCTGCCCTCTCGTCACACGGCGTCACAAAAAGTCAGACCCCCTCAAATATGACGTCACAAAGCTCTGCCCCCCCCCCCCAAACCATATTTCAATTTTGAAAATAAAACAATGCATCAAATCACTTTAAACTATTGTCATTGTAGAGTGTATTTAATGTGGCGCTGCACTCTGATGTTGTAGGAGAAAACATGTTTTAAAAGGGGGCGTTGGAAAGCTGAAATTTAGCATAAAATTCACTTGAAAATATTCAACGTCTAACTAAAACTGCAGATTTTCAGAATATATTGCAATTCTCTTATAATTATAAAATATTAAAAGTAATTATAACTATAAAAAGATACTTGAAACTTCGTAGTAGAAATAAGCAAAATGGAGAGTACAATTATAACAATCATTTATTCCACAGAATGAAAAGCCCTGGTAGAATAATTATAATCAAAATGTTTAATAACAATAATTCAAAAAAATTTACAAAATGTATGCTTCTCCATTCTCCCATGGAGAAGCAAAATGCTCCTTCATGGAATAAATAAAAGGTGACCTTAGTAAATTTAAATAATCAAATAGTTAATAATGAAAATTAACCAAAATTTGTGTTATAACAATTATATTTAATTGATATGTATTTAAAGTTGCGCATTTTGATGTGACGTCACATTTCTCAAACCTCCCCCCCCTCGTCATACATCGTCATAAATGTCTGACCCCCTCCCCCCCCTCGGTGCGTGACGTCATTTATGGACGGCCCCTGATCTGTGTTATAAATGTAATGTCTGTACGATTCCAATCATTTTTATTGTCAAAATCGCCAAATTTGCGGAGCTCCGCTGCAAATACAGGAAGAGACGAGAGGTGAGGCATCGACGAGCTCCGCCTCCCCTGTGATTGCGCAACCACTCAGTAACTGGATGGAGCGCGGGCAATAAGCGCGTGCCTGTTACTATCTCAGTATGTCACCAATGTAATGTTTGTAGACCCCTTCATTCCATGTCCTCGCCTTCCATACTCCTGGTAACTTATTTCACGAATGTGTATAAAGATATTTAGGCTCGCTGGTCTCGTCATGAAACTGCAATGAAAAAGCACCAGGGGAGGCAGCTATCACATCTGCCTCACTGAGGGGGGCGTGTCAGACACGCACACGCCCCCCTCAGTGTGTAAATCTGGCTCTGATACCAGCCAGTGCCTCCCCAGCCATTGACCTCACCGCACGTCACTAGAACACATCCAGTACATGTGTGTACGATATGTGTTCTAGTTTGGGTCAGTGTAGTTGTATACACGCGTTCACATGTCGGTCATCTCAAGTCAACCCTGCCAGCGAGCCTTCCGACACTTCACGTGGTTTCGATGTGCACAAGCGCTATTGTGTTTTTTGTATTTATATGTCTGTGCTTTGTATGCATGTCTGTACATTTGTATTTGTATCCGTGTATAGGAACCTCTCCTGTGCCTCCCCTAGGTCGACTCGGCCACAAATGAGCACCTGGTGCGGTGTGCAAACATCAGCATTGGGGAGACAAAGGCGACCGGGCGTGATGCTTGCCACCAATCGCACTCGTGTGCCGTTGGCCTCCGTCAGGTGCTCGTTAACAACACTTGCCCCAACAGTCCGTCACGGCTGTATGGGGGAATCTTTTTCTTTTCTCAACACCAAAGAGAGAGACCGGCCGAACATCCAACACGAGAGTGATGAGGACTCGGCGAAGCTCTCCTGGGTGTATGAATGACCTTGCAGTTGTGTGCGGGGCGGCTGCGGGTTTACGTACGGTCGGGAGACTCGCATGGGTGGCCAGCGCCCTCTGTCGGGTTCAAAGCGCGGAGCGGGTACAATGTGTGACGTCTCACTCGAGTTTGGCAGCAAGTCAAGCGATGAACTTTTCAGCGTTCCTTGTACGTACGTTGATATGCGTATCTTGATACACAGAGGTCGAGTTGAGAGCTCCAGCAGAATTACTCAAAAAACAAAAGCAGATCACACCCTTCCTCATCCTGTTGAGCGTTTAAACTCTGATTAGACTTCAACATAGACTCGCTACAAGGCTGCATTTCAGTGCCTCTGTGCACTGTGACTTCGCAACGTGCACTTAATTCCCTTCCTGGAGGATGGTGGTAGATGTCTCACCGATGCATCGATTCATCGTTTAGCACCAATTATCTTACAACTCATGAAACATGCACCAAATCACGCACTTCGAAATCAATCCTATTATATTATTGCCCTGTATTTCATGGGTTTGTGACCCTTGCAGCCACTTGAGGCATATCAACCACTGATCAAAAATCTATAATTTTTTACTTTAATTGTCACAATCCCATACGAATCGCGCAGTAGGCAAATGACTACACATGCCTATCAAGACTGCTACTTCATGAAAACACTTCGAGTCTAACAAATAAGCAGAGTAATTGAAAAAAAACATTTATTTATGGTTTTTAATGTACAGAACAGTTTTGCAATACGTGAAAATAACTGAAGAGGGTGGATGCTTCAATTGCACTGGGTTTTGCAATTGACAACGCACGAGACCGATTATGAATCTCGATTACACATCGGCTCATACATTTTGACTCAACATTTCATCAAGGTATTCATATTCTTCATCAAGGGTCCTCACATTTTCCAGTTGTCACCTGTGCTTTTTCAGAGGCCTCTTACAAACTATTTCCTGACATTTTGGCTACACTGACGTGGTTACTTATGGCTGTCACCTTCCCATGAATATGACACCACAGGGGGTGCTTGGAATTCTCCGAGACGTTATTGATTCGCGACTGATACTGCTAAATAATTACTACCCCATTACCAACAACTTCATAGCGGTTTTCAATTGTGAAATCCAATCATTTACAGCTTCACAAATGTTCGTTGTTCACATCAAGTATCGTGCTCAGCAGCTATCTTTATGTAGATATCACAATGACTCCCACTGCCTGGGCTTCATTTCTCACCCGACATTTCCCGGATCGCTGCCATAGACTGGCTTTGATATAGGGATTATTGGCGTAAGGCACTACCACGAGGGGTACAAGGTACGCCTATCCGTAATAATTCTATGTTACTGTTGTACCCTGTATTCCTATAAACAGGCTTATTACAAAAAAAACGGAGGACAAAATAAGGCAAGATGGATGAGGCACGCCAAGATAATTCCTGGAACAGCGTCGGGGACTGCTCCAGCTGAAATTGAGCAGGGCCTTACCACCAGCACACTCATCGAATGCAATTGGACCAAAGACGACAATCGGTATCGACTTATGGCTTATCTTCAGAGTTATTACTTTTACCCCCAATGTAAAGCCTAGGTTGCAAGTTCTCAATCTGCACGCCGGCTACTACGGGATGGCTCAGCAAGACTTGTTTCAGATTTGGGCATGTGTCTATCGCCGATACAATCCAAAGAGTGGTACGTGGATACAAATTTGTAGCGGCTGCCAACATGGGAACGTGTCTTGCTTTAAGCATACTTATATTTATACAGACTGTGTGCATATGTGCATAGATATATACAGTACATATGTGTGCATAATTTGTATATACAGAATTTTTTTACACAAAGCGCGATTTAGGGGTGCGATACGTGTGATATAAAGGTACGTGCAGACCACGTACCCCACCAGTGCAAACTACAGAAACTATCGAACAAACGAGGTGCAGGTTTTTTCTAATGAAGGGAATAGCATTTATATCGCGCTCTATCGTGTAAGAAGAGGTTTCAGCTAAACGCATTTTCAGTGATATATCGCTCTGTGATGATAACTGAAAGCTGCCAAGCACTGAAATTAAGCGGCCTTACATATAAAATACAGATGAAAGTTATACTATGCTGCTGGAGCAAATAAAAGAAAACGATACGATTATGAAAATGGAATACAGTATCAAAGAAACAAACACAAAACGACATAACGTAGAACATTTACACAAAATATTTGGATGGTGGAGATGGGCGCGTTGTGCCCTTCAACCAGCGAGCGGTGAGCGTGCTACACTACGTACACCTCTTGAATGCACAGGAACCATGACTGCACCAGGCCCTGAGACTGTACCTAGAAGCACCCTGGGTCTGAAGGTATGAATGTATGTATGTGCACCTCCCACGTGTAACTCTTGTGCATGATCAGGAATTTGACATTAAATGTCATAGTAATTGTGATGATCACGATCATCATAAAATTAAGTCGTAATTGCGATGATCATAATCGTCAATCATCACATCATTGTTGTTTTATAATACTTTTAAAATCGCACCTCTTTAATATAGTGGCATCAACACGCATTGTTTCAATTAATCACTCGAGCGTTCACAAACAATGCATGAGCCAACAGTAAGAGACAATGGCGCTGGTGACTGCTGGCCGATGCAGTAAAAAGTGCTGAAAAAGCATGTCGTGAATGTGTGAATTTGTCAATAAATTGAGCATTTCTAGAATTTCTCTACATGAGTTGCGATTGAGTTTCACAATACGGAGAGCCCAGTGCGTTTTGACATAGACATCTGTGAAAATAACTTCATAGTTCATCGGATTCCTGCAGTCTAAAGATTCTGGTTCTGTATGTCAGCATGACACAAGGCGTTGCTCGCACAAGCTGCTCTCATTACTCGAAATCATCTCACATTGCTTGGTCTCACCGGTGGGCCATTCCTCAGCCTTGATTAGGATCCAATTAAAGAACCGAGAATGCCAGATGCCTCCAAAAGGGACTCGTGATTCTGGGGTGTAGCATATATTTTCAAGAAGATGAGATTTTATTTTTACATCCAACTTAACACTTGCGTAACAACGTACGTTCACTAATACTGCGTTGGTAGCCGTGAATTGAAATATCCTATACGGTGCAGGGCCAGAAACAATCGGCTCAACATGTGGGAGGCTTGTGTCAAGCAGTGAGCATAGGCAGAATTGCTGCTGCTGCAGGTATAGTGGCTGTGTATGACAGGAGGTGTGGGTGCCCCTGCAAGGAGGGAGGGAGAGGAGATGAGAGAGAGAGAGGGAGCGAGGACGAGAGAAGGTCGTAGCAGAGTCCATCGCCTGCCTTCCCACCCATGCAGACTGTATTCACTGGATTCCGCCGTACTTGGGGTTGACCACTGTGGTGACCGCACTCTTGTAGATTGGGTTCTCTCCCTGCAGAGGGCACACGCGCGTGCACACACACGCACAGGCATTTGTGTCAGGCGTATGTGTGGGATCACAAGGCATGTAACAATTCATCGATTAAGATCGACTCTTTTACTCATACGCACATAAAATTGTGCATGTAAGAATGCGTTGGTGATTTATGCAGATGTTGCTTTTATGATAACGTAATGAATGAGACAATGCATAAACAATCATCCCATTGAATCACTACCATGAATCGTAACCATGAACAAGTCCCAATGCCATCAACATCTCTATCGAGATCACACTGGCACTTTTTCTTCCACGTGATTTTTTTTATTGTTTCCACACAGCATCTTGAGACGTGATCACATTTGGACGCTATGTAAACCCGAATCGTGATTTTAAGGCTATGAAACAGCGTGAGAGCTGCTGCTGCTGCTTTAACAAGAACGGAATCGCACATCATCATTCCAGACACTTCCCCCAGATGTCATCGCCAGGATGTCGGGTGGTGACCTCTTGCTATCCACTTTGGCTACTCGTCCCATGCAACCACTCCAATCTATCGACGGCCCGGGCAGTATTGAGTGAGAAATGATGGGCCAACTCCAATCTATCGACGGCCCGGGCAGTATTAAGTGAGGAATGAAGCGCTGGTACCGTGTCCCACTTGGCAGTGAGCTTCTCCTTCTCGAACTTGGCGAACTCGCGCCGGTCATGGATGGATGTCAGCAGCTTCCAGATGAGCAGCAGTGCGAGGCCAATGAGAACGATGCCGGCCACAACGCCCGCGATGATCGCCAGCACGTTGGGCTCCGCGGGGCACTCTGAACAGAGGCAGAGCATGGGTAGATGTCAAATAATGAAACACTTTGACGTCATCCAAGCTCTGTTGACTTTCACGCCTGAAAGTGACTTCTGAAAGTTCGTTCTTCACTATAAAAGCTTAAAACGTATGTGGGACAAAGCCATGGCCGTCTGGGCACGAAACGCATAAAGATGGGTTTGATGTGGGTACTATAATGTTATGCCACTCCTTAAAGAGCTGTAGGCAACACAGCCCTCCCGAGAGAATCATCCTGCGAGAAGGCCGAGGTGATTTACATGATTGCTCTCTGCTCTGGAATAAAACGAAAATGTTTGAACACATACGGGAGAATTCCTAGAACTCCTAAAATCACATTATATCCATGCATGAGATGGTGGTAATCTGCGTTAAATTCATATCATTGTCCCTTCTCGCTGGTGCCCATCCCAGCGGCGAGGTGCGTGCAAAAGTCACGACCCCCTGCCCGCCCCCCCCCCTCCCCAGCTCACCTCTCTTCTCCTGCACCTCGACGGATGCGTTGCTGCCAGAGCCAGTGAACGTGAAGAAGAACCAACAGTCGTCATCGTCCTTCTGCTTGCAGTGCACGATCTGCTGCACGGCACCCGGCTGCGTCAGCTCGGGCACAACGCGCACCTGCAAACGTACGCACACACGCGCACACACATACAAGGGCACGCACGTGCACACACGCACAAGCGCAAGAGACAAATATTCACCATGTAGCCATAGACACTTCGGGCAAGTGCTGCACTAGCGAACACCGTGATGATGCTTACACACCACAGGGACCAGTTGTGTTATTATTCGTCACTGATGTTAGCCGTGGCTAGGTATAAATCCCAGGTCAAATTGTGTATTCCTCCTTAACCCAGAGCAAACGTTTTTGCCTCTGTCTATATAATAGGAATCTTTTGAGAGCAAAAATATGGATTCAAGTGGATCACGTGAAGGTATGGATCCTGTGTTGGGAGTTGTTTAGGAAGCACTTTTCCAAGCATCACCTTCAGGCCACACTCTTCACACGTTTCCTTGCGAGGCCCGTTAGCGAATGCGGCGCACTGCACGCAGTCTCTGCACACGCAGGGTTGCACAGAGGTAGAGGCGGGGGGGGGGCGGTACAATGGGGGGGGGGGGCAGCTGTCATTCGCCAGCGGTAGTGGTGCTCGCCTACTGGGGGGCACTCAGTAAAAGTTATTTTTGGGGACCCCAGTTTAAATTCATATAATCCTCGTAATGACAGAAGAGATGAAGACAATAGATTATACATTAAGTTAGATAGGTGAATAGATATATTGAAAAGATAGATATATTCACGTGGCCTAAAAGTGCACATAGCCTGGCACAAGCACCGTGGTGACATCACTGGCCACTTAGTGGCGAATGGCGGCTGCTGCTTGTATAAATTAAAAGGCGAACTCGAACCTAACAATCGTGATTTGAAACTTTCGTGACTACAGGAATCCATACTCTTTGGTTCTTTCGGTAAAGTCACGTAGGTAGAAATAAGTTATATTTAAAAATACTTTTTTTTAAACACGCTTTAATGAAATGTACCGTACTCGTAACGGCAATACTCCACGACTTCAAGAAGTGGCCCCGAAGCTTGCCATAACGTAAGGGACCGTGGTGATTTACAGCCAACGTCAGTTGAGCGTGGACAATTTGACCCAAGCTGAAACATAACATATAAAAAAGATGGTTTAAAAATATAAATTTTTATTTTTAATGATAGAATATAGTATTGTCATTAGTATGACATAAGTATACTAAGTTTGCAGTCGATAGCACATTGGGAAGTGGGTTAAAATTGAGTTACAAGATTTGAGGAATACGACAACAACAGAGTGAGTTAATAGAAAGCGTGTAAAAAGATTGTTTAAAAATATATATATTTTATGATAGAAAATAGTATTGTCATCAGTAAGACATAAGTATACGAAGTTTGCAGTCGATACCACATTGGGAAGTGGGTTAAAATTGAGTTACAAGATTTGAGGATACGACAACAGCAACAACAGACAGTGTGAGTAAAATGAATAGATCACGACGTTTCGATCACAACGCAAGCAATCGACAATCGACGATTGCTTGCGTTGCGATCGAAACGTTGTGATCTATTGTTTATTATTTTTCTACCTACGTGACTTTACCGAAAGAACCAAAGAGTATGGAACCTATCAATGATACATCGACAAACCGTGATACATCAACTTCACACGAAATCTGAATCTCGCTCGGGGCCAAGTGGGGCCAGGTGTGGGATTAATGACATGTTCAGCCGCGTGTGTGAGACGTCGGTCGGTACACAATTCAAACGGTATGACCGCGTCACGTGCACGCGGCTCGACCCGTTCATCAAATGCAACATCAGCGGCCCTGCCCAACAACAACCTAGCACCACCTGAGTCTTGGTTGTGCCAGTAGGGGAAAAAACAAGGTATCCTCACTTGTGCTCCTCGCACGCCTCCGGGCAGGTGGGGCACAGCTCACAGGTTGCGCCCTGGTAGCGTGGCTCTGAGCACCGGCACTTGCCGCACTCGCACACACCGCGCCCATTGCAGATCTGACCTCCGCGGCCCTCGCAGCCGTGTGTGCCGAGCGCGCAGTCGCACGCGTTCCCCGTGAAGTTGGGGAAGCACACGCAGTGGCCGCAGTCACAGATACCATTACCTGCCGCCCCACAACCACGCACAACCGCCACACAACAATATTAAGTGTGTCACGCAATAGATTAGGGTTTATATAAAAAAAATTAAAATACTTTTTTTTAAACACGCTTTAATGAAATGTACTGTCCGAGCTGCCCCTCCCCCTGCCCCCTTCCCCTATCGCCCCTCCCCTCCTTCCACATCCCCCGCCCCTCGGCGTGGCTCCCCGAGGCTTGCCATAACGCAAGGGACGATCTTTTTTACGGCTCTAATTGTCCACGCTCTTAGAGCCGTAAAAAAGATCGTTTAAAAATATATATTTTTACTTTTTTATGCTGTAATATAGTCTTGTCATCAGCATGACATAAGTATACCAAGTTTGCAGTCGATAGCACATTAAGAAGTGGGTAAAAATTTAGTTACAAGATTTTTTTGAGGATACGACAACAGACGGAGTAAGTTGAATAAAAGCGTGTAATAATAAAAAAATATCGTAGCCATCCCAACATTCACTCTGCCTCTCGTGGGGAAGCCTTTTTCTGGCAATCAGTATGACATAAGTATACCAAGTTTGTTAAATCGATAAAGCAGGTGACCATCTGCTTCATCCCAAAAATATTTAAAATATTTATATTTCAATCCCAACAGTTTGAGAATCTTCTTTACCGATGTTTTCCAGCAGCATTTGCCTAAGTAAGCAAACATTGCTCCAGTTTAAAATGTTCGACCTGTCCCCAGACCCAGGCTCACTACCTTCCTTTATTCCACTGCCTATGACCGACCACCTCTCAATACAAAATACATTTGCTCAATTTCCCTACAGCCTTGAAATTACGTCGCATTTCCACGAATTGTAGCATCACAACGATACCAAATGCCGAGGCTCCAAATTCGCATCCATCATTCTGCTTCCTCCTATTTCGCGGAGCACGACAAAACGGGTCACGGATGGCCACACACGCCGATACAAACGCACACGTCGTAAGCAAAACACGCCCGCGTCGCACAGGCCTCACCGCCGCAGATCTTCCCGGCGGCCCGGTCGCAAGAGAAGTCGTCGCACTCGCACAGGTTGCCGAAGACGTGCTCGTTGGCGTTGTCGCGCTTGTGGCACACACACTCGCCGCACACGCAGTCACCGCGCCCGCTGCACACCACCGACGACGAGTTGTCGCGCTTGCATGTCGCCTGAATGTCCTCCGAGTTCACCTCGTCTTTGCTGCACTCGCACAGCCGTCCGATGCGACCCTCGTTGCACCTGCGGACCACAAGGGGTGGACGAGTTGTGAACTTAGTCACGTCGAGTAGGCCATCGTGGTCAATGTCATTAATGCCACCACAGCTGATCGCCATTGCTTCCTTCCTTTGGCTCGAATGGTTGTCGTAAGGTTACCACCCGACTTTCAAGGATTGCTCTAACGTTCTCATCACCACCTCCATCTGGAATGAAGTCTTCGCCTCAATGTGTAGTTGATACCTTCCTCAAGAAATGCTCAAAAATATTAACGTCACAACCATCTAGATTTACTTATACCCCTTGGTCATCACTCCAATGCCTGTCTTGGTAGTCTTCCCCCCTCCATCCTGAATACTTGCCTGCCTTCCACAACCTCATCTTCCTCATGACATCTACTACACTGTGATAACGTGTCTTGTATTATCAATCTGAAAGATTCCATGAGGTTCAGAACACTGTCCACATATACCTGTATTGAAAGATCCAATGCTTATTTTCTAGTGGCTTTGTTAAAGTCCAACTCTCTGTCTCTTATTTTAAGTCATTACTCCTGCAGTAAATATACATCTCTTCACCTGACAGTTGAGCTCTGCTTTTCCAAAATGGCATAAGTACTAAACTCCCATTGGACAATAATAATTGGACACTAATCACAATCACAATATTTAGACAATGCAATACAACGAAATTTGTCGTTATACATTGTATAAAGGCTAAGAGGATAATTAGTCGTCCTGCCCTTTAACTAAGTAATCACTATTTAAAGCTTTCGTGACTGCAGGGATTCATCTTCTTGGTTCTTTTGGTAAAGTCACGTAGAAGGGAAGTAATAAAATAGTAATAAATAATAAAAATAAAATAAAAATAATAAAAATAAAACATAATAAAATTTTATTATGTTTTATTTTTTATTATTTTATTACTTCCCTTCTACGTGACTTTACCGAAAGAACCAAATAAGTAATCACTGCTGGTGGAAATCTCCTCCACTAGAGGGAGCACTAGAGAGTTCTAGGGCAGTGTTTCACAAAACGTGGTACCCCGGAACCACCGGTGGTGCGCGACGGTCCTCCAGGTGGTCCGCCGGGCTGTGATGCAAATACAGGTTGATCCGAAAATAATGACAATGTTAACGTTCATACATTTTGCTTTGGACATTAATGAATATTTTATTCATGGTATTAATTTTTTTTATTAAAGTTCGGTAAACTACCCTGATTAAATTACCCTCTGATCTCTAAATGCACCCCCCCCCCCACCTTAAAACCTTTTTAGCTGCAATTAAAAAAAAAGTTTTTTTATGTTCCGGTAATATGAATAATTTTGTATGACTGGTATTGAGAGAGAGAGAAGTGAATGTGTTTTGTCAGTGGCAGTTGGGGGGCTGTGTGGTCCTTGGAAATGTTTGCATCAACTGAGTGGTCTGCATGCCTACCAAGTTTTAGAAACACTGCTCGAGGGAACATTTCTAGGGCAGTGCTCCGGTCTTTGTAGGACATGCGGCCTCATTGTCGATCCTTAACAAATTTTGCGGGACCGAGTCGTCAAAAAAAACATTTTGTGAACAACACTGGACATCGGAAACAGTGCCGCGGGCCACTTCCCACGGTGGACATGCAGTGTTCCATGGACGACAGGTTAGATAGATTCAATAGATTTTTTATTTTGGCAGGAAGGGCCCAATGAGCTGCTAGGCTCTATTTCGTGAGTGTCCTGCTACGGTACAGATGTTATACAGTACAGATACTCGTGATACAAGTGTAGTAACGTAGACTGCGATACACAACAGCGAGGAGCGGTACGTGCGCTGCCATCTAAACGCCCGCGCAAACCTGCGCACTCGCGCACGCACAGCCTCACCGGCAAGCGCCGCACTCAAGTCGCCCGTTGCCCTGGCTGCACTCAGGGCTGTCGGCTGTTCCGAGCGAGTGGCACGCGCACTCGCACACGAATTGCAGCGTCACCTCCACCTTCTCGTTAAAGCCGAGCGGGCGGATGGTGAGGCGCGCGTCCTCGCCCTCGTTCGGGCACCGCGTCGCCGTCACGCTGATGCTGAACGTCACCTGGTGGTCGGAGGGAGGGACACGGGGTCGGGAAGGAGGGCAAGGGATGGAGAGAGGTATGGAATCAGCAGGGGAGGGGTGGGAGGGAGGTGAAGGGAAGGGAGAGACGTTATAAACAAGGCATGGAATGATGCGTCGATTCACCCGTGGCAAATTATTCTTACGCTTATGATACAAGCATCAAACGATGCTAATTAAAAACAATCATTTAGAATGCTGTTGGGCTCATGGAGCTAGGAGCACTGAACAAAACCAGGAAGTAAACATGAGACGAAAATAATCTTGATATTCTTGGGTCTTTCGGTAAAGTCACGTAGATAGGTTCAAAGAAAATAACAAAAATAACAAATTAACTACGACGTTTCGATCGCAACACAAGCGTTCGTCATCCGGAAGAAAAAAGAGGGGACAGCTGCTGAGGCAGACTGTTTTAAAGGTTTAAAATGGGTGTAGCCCATAAACGAAGTGGGCGGGGCTAGTGATGTTAATGTGAGAAATTAGCATGTAAATATAACATCGGAGGGCGACCTCCAAGTCGAGGGCACAGAAGTGGCTGTGTTAATGTGAGAGATTAGCATGTTCATGGACAACTGCAGAGCAGCAACGTCGAGCTCGGTGACCGAGGTGGCTTTTTTAGTGTGGGAAATTTAACCTGTTAATGTAAAATAAGAGAGCCGAAAATGTGAATTCCTGCAGTCACAAAAGCTTTAAATCAAGATTTAATCTTTTCTTTAATCAACTAAAATAATACTCAAATTGTGCAATTGGTGCCGTGTAATGAGATGAAGAAATTATCTTTCGAAATCCTTGCAGAGCAGTGCATCACCTCATGTTAGGGAACGGCCTCTTGAAGATGGTGTCACAGCTACTTGAGGTCCCTGCAATTGAGTCCGACTCACACTAGGTGGTGCTGCACCTCTTGGTAAGGCGATCATATCACGTGGCAATCAGATTGCAACGAGTTTAGCTGTTAGAGCTGGAATAGGCCAAATTGGGACTGCGACCACCAAACTCGCTGGTGAGCAAGGTCACTCTAAAGAATGTGCCACTATCCTGGTCTCTTGAGTTCTCACCTGGTTTCACAAATAATCTTGGCACTTGAACCCAGTTCAATCACAGGTTGCTGAAACCCAAGATTCAACGCTCTGACATTGCCAGCTTTAACGGGCTCTCTCCAGCAGCACTCGCCTCCCCCCTGCCTTGACCGTTAGAATGAAGCGGTGAGCTGACTCTCGTTTCGTTCCGAGAATGAAAATGGAGCGACTCTGCAGCGAGACGCTCGCTCACTCGCCCGCCCGCCCTGACCTCGTCGCCGATCTGGATGTTGGAGCAGGCGCGGCCACCGTCGCCCGTGCGCGTCTCGCCGTACTTGCAGTGCGCCGTGTAGGCCACGTGCACTCCCTCCGGCACCTTCGTGTTCTCCAGGATCACCTCCGACGACAGCGCCTGTTCTCGCGCACGCGTCACCGCACGCACCGCTGTGAGCCTGTTCTCATCATAGCCTTGGTCTCGTAGATGACGACCTGTGGAACTGTAGTCGGGTCTGAGTCGGTGAGATTCATTTAGTAATTCGCTTAGTCTAGCCGACTCAAGCATTAAAAAGATTTAGTCTACTTTCAGTTATTAAATGTTGGTGTGAGGTGCGTCCAATATTTGCCCAAGATATAAATGCTTGTTTGGGGATTGACTCGCCCCTTCATTCCTCTGGGGTTGATAAAATCACTAGTATTTTGTGGGGAAGTAGTCAACAGTGGTTTTCCTATGAAGAGACTCGCCCCCACCACAGGTATGTGGAATTAAAATTTCCACCACTGGCTCATGACTGTAAGCACAAGAACAGCATGGCCCCAATGCTCATTTGAGCAGGAAGTTCATTAGGCTATTTTAAATATTATAAGGTCAGCCAATCAGCGCATTCAGTCATTGTTTTCAGTGTGCAGCTGTCGCTATCAATGTTACCAAATGTTCTTGGTCTTTATCTTCATTCACATTTTTTTATTTTCATCTCAATACAGTCAGTCATGCTTGGGTATTTGGTGGATAGTCATCATCATCGTCAAACTTTTTAATTTTGGAGCATTCATTGTCGTTGACTAATATCAAAATATTAAATAAACATTGCTATTTTTACAACCAATTTCGCACACGCGCACACACATACAAGAGTGTATGTACATACATGCACAGATGCGCACATGTACACGCACACACACTCGCACATGCATGCACACATGCGTACACGCCAATACACATGTATTTCCCACAGCTTAGCAAACAAAATGTTGGTTCTTACATTTACACAAACGTGTGTGTGTTTGAGTGAGTGACCACACACGGATGGTGCGGCAGTTCCTACATTGTAGGCGTCGATGATGAGCTGGATCACATTGGACGAGTTGGAAGAAAGCACGCCTACTGCTGACTTGGGGATCAACTCACTCAGGCTCTGCTCAGTGACACAAACAGAAGATCACATGACTCATGGAGCCAAACGTCGCGTGACTCAGCGCAAATGTCACAGACTCACAGTCTCCACTTACCCGAACACTGCCTTAAAAGTATACATGGTACCAGTGATGTGTTGCATAATAACAAAAACCTGAAGTGTAGGGTAAGGGAAAAATGTATTCTATACTTTGTTCAAACAAAATTGTGGGTTTCTCTAAATGGTATTTTAATCTTTCCTCCAAATGTTTCCTAATTCTTTTTTTTGCTCCTGGAATAATGAGATGAAGAAGGCATTCAGACCTCTCACAGAGCTGTGCGACCCTCTATGTAAAACAACATTCCATAGCTGGAATGTATTCAAATTAAGTGTAATACCCAATATATTGTAACCGGGCTGTGGGCACCAACTCATGAGACTTGGTCTAATTGCAGGTGGCTATATGGATAAAACCCAGAATATTTGGAGTGCCAGTTGAACCCTTTAACCTCTGAGCCACCTGGCTGCCTAAGCATGTGGATTTCTGAGCATAATCTGGGTTGTTGTGGAGGAGTAAGCTGTGTGTGTGTGTGCGATCGCTTGCCCTGTAGACGTCGTGGAACTCATTGTTGACAGCAAAGATCGGTTGGATGTTTTTGTCCCCCAGCTTCTGCACCAGCTGCGCAACGGACGGGTAATCCTAAAGGGAAACGGAGGGAATGCAGACAGGGGTAGCCGAGGAGGCAAGGATAACAATGATTCGATTTACCGATCAAAATCGATTATTGTGATAAAAATACACGAGTCAAATCGTGCTCGTGAGATTCGATTGATGTTCCTATCATTGTCCTTGTTGCGAATCTTGTTAATGATTTTGTAAAGCACATTGAGATGCTCAAAAGCAACAAGTGGTCAATATCCTATCATATTTGATTTATTGATCCATCTTTACCAGACCTGGGGTCAATTATGATTCCCAAACAGAGCAGCATGTGAGCTCAAATTACAATAACGTTGTGGTTGTAATTAATTATAATTGATACGATTATATTTGTATTTGACTGTAGGTGAGGTTAGCCCACCATGATCGGGTATTAGTATTAGAGATTGTGGGGCTGATGAAAGCAAGCGACTTGCATTCATATTTTGAACAATGCTTGGTCTACAGAGCGTGTAACTATGGGGAGTCATGTGACCTCTACATGTGGTAACCTGTTTAGAAGTTGACATAAAGTTACTCGCTAGGGAGTGCAGCGATCAAATCCACATTGAGAAACTTCTCCTTGTTTAAACAGGAAACGGTGCAGAAATTTATCTTGGTCTTAAATGGTTTCAGGCAGTGGGAAGCATAATGGCAGGGCTTAGTTTCTCAATTATATTTTCCGGGTCTCTGGTAGAATGCAGTAGGCACGTAACTGGATGCGGTGTTCCAGGTGCTGGAATCAAACCGTGGATAACGGTGTCTGAGTGCAAACGACTTACATAGACATCGCTCTTCGTGTAGCCGCCCTCCCTGTCCAGGTGGCAGTGCCCGTCATTGGGTATGACAATGCCACCCAGTTTCCCGTCGCCCGCAAAGTGGAACCCGGCATCCGTGGAGAACACGAGCAGGCGCGTCACATTGCGCCAACGGATGTTGTCCTGCCAGGTGCGCAGAGATGTAACGTGGCAAAACGATAAAAGGTGCAAAGCGAGTCACAGATTGCGACGCAATGTGTAGATTCGTGCAACGCACAATGCAAGATGTCGTGCACAAAGCAGAATGGGACCCCATAGTGTGGAACTCTCTGCCCCTCTTCAACTTCTTTACCTTGCTGATCTCGTCAAGGAGCATAAACAATCATGCAAACTCTGATCATCCTCGCGGCGAACAAAGATGGTCACTGCAACGCGCTTTCAGATGTACTTTCTGCAGCCACCTGGAATGCTCTTCCTTTAAATATTAGGAAGCCATTGGAGCTATGCACTTTCCAATCAAGATTAAAAACTAATTTCTTTAAAACTGCTTTTTGTGTTTAGTTTGTCATCCTTTCTCCCACACCTCTGATTAGCACGGTTTTCTACGTACGATGCAAAATGTGTTTACATACGTACAAGTGAAGACTCAAGGCCCTTCTTTTTTCTCCTGCCCATGACCGACTGCTGCCCCCCCCCCCCCCAGGATCTATCTATATATCTATCTTCTTCTATATATATAAAAGTAAAAAATTATGGGTTTATGGGTTTGTGTGTGGTCGCTCGCTTGGCTCTCCAACGGTGGGGTTTAGGTAGAAAAAAAATGGCCAGTTACCACGCCGTAAGCCCCGCGGTCAGCAAGCGCTATTCCTTTTTCACATCCGTCAACTTTAATTTAATTAGCGATTTAGTGCGATTTTTGTGCGCTTCGCTATTATTTACTTATTTATGACGCGTGCACGACCATACCAACTCACGCGCCTTTGGTGGGGGGAACGGCCCTTGCCAAGTCGCACGCCTTCGGTGGGAGTGAGGGGGACATTTTCTTTCGCGTTAAAAATGCTATAAAAATACACTAAACGCTCTCGTAAATTCTTCACTGTGTCACGTCCCCCCCCCCCCCCCCACCTCGATGCGTGCAGTTACTAATATATACAGTCGCTAGATGCTAGCACTATAGGTAGTAGGCCATTTATTTACTTATCACGCGCGCACGGCCATACCAACTCACGCGCCTTTGGTGGGGGGGGGGGAATTTTCTTTCGCGTTAAAAATGCTATAAAAATCTTCACTGTGTGATGTCTCCCCCACCCCGATGCGTGCAGTTATTACTACTATACAGTCGCTAGATGTAGCAGGTACCACCACAGTCAGTATGCACTGCTGTAATCATAGCAGTTACCACTACAGTATGCACTGCTGTAATCATAGCAGGTACCACCACAGTCAGTACGCACCGCTGTTATATTTTCAGAGTAGTTTTGAAATATTTTTAAGACCGGGGCAACGCCGGGTACTTCCTGTTAGTATCTTCTAAATAACCTGGAAACGCACCTCGCACGCAGCGACCTGCATCATGGCGTCCAGACCACCCTCGGGAGAGTCGAGGTTCCCCGAGATCTTCTGGAGGCTCACGAGCTCGTTGAACAGGCTGCCATTGCTCGTGAGCGGCAGCACGTTGCGGTAGCTGAAGGGGCTGGTGCACACCTCCTCGCGGGTGCCGCACGGGTTGCGCAGCTTGGCGGGCGTTGTGCTGATGAATGGCATCACCGTCTTGTCCACAAAGGAACCGAACCCTGGTGCGACAGTGACGAGCGCCAGCGACGATTGACCGTGCGTGCAGAAGCTCGGATTATTGTGAATGGTACCGGGCGCGAGGCGGCCGTGTGGCTCAGGGGGTCTGACCACTTGAGCTGACACGACTGACAAACCCTGGTGATCGAATCTGGGGTGTGAGGTGCCTGTCATTAAACGGGGGTTCAAATGTGTGGCAGGTTGATGGTCTAAGCATAAAATAACCATTGTATTAAACTGTGCCTTTTCACTTATTCCAGTTTTGAGAATTAAATGTTGCTTTAACTTACAAAGAGCAATCATCCATAATAGAGGGTTTTGGGTTAGATGAATAGAGGGTTTGGGTGAAGATCGCGATCTTACCCAAACCCTCTATTATGGATAATATTGGTCGCGAAAGCCTACATGTGAAAGAGCATTCACTTATTGCCAGAAATATAAAAAAATCTGTCAAAGCCCAGTTTAAAGAGGAATATTGAAGTGATTAAAAAAATAGTTGTGACATCGTTATCAAGGGCCACTGTTTGAAACAGGGCGGTGCACTGCTTGTTGCAAAAGAAATATCTTAATCGTGAAGATATTTAAATGTTGATGAGTGTTGTACCAAATAGATTTTCGTTTTACATTAATGACGGTCGTATATTGAAGTGCTTGTCATTGTTTCTTAGTGACACTTTGGAGCCTCTAATGTGAAATCAATTTTATATCCCGACGATTATTTAAATACATTATTAACATTACACAATAAAAAAAAATTACTGCAACAGCACGAATCACAACAAGCGGTTTTCAACAGGGGTCGAACAATTCACCACCGTGATTTGATAAATTGTCACAATTCAGGGTCACGATTCAACTCAAGGCTTGATACATTTTCATGCACATTGCGGTGAACGGTTGTGCCTGTACAGAAGTGATGTGAACGCAAAACATAAAATATATACATCTGGGAAAGAAATACAAACATTGATTCCTTGTCATGCGATTCAATGCAAGTATTGCGAGCATTAATATTGCATATTAATAAATGAGTCGATGCACTGGTCCATCCCCAATATGCAAAGGCTACTTGCTTGGTGTGGTATGCACGTTCATGATACATTGTTGGTAGCGTTTCAGGAATTTATTTAATTTATTACACCATTCAATAAAAAAAATTGTATCTCTAAATTGTTGCATAATTGTGTGTGTCTTTCTCTTTTGATTGAAACAAATGACAGGCTTCATCTCACAGTTATTTTAGCTTTAAGGCATTTCATTAATTAAATAACCTGCAGCTGTGCGATCGGAAGCGGAAAAGAGAAACCTGACACCTCTTGTTCAAAAATACACAACAATTACCGCTGCTGACAGACGATTAGGGGAGGAGGAACGTGATATTCTGGCAACTGCTCAATCGTGTACTTTATGGCTTTTGGAAGACGCCCTTTGCTCCTGATCCCGTGCATGTCTGACGAGTTTGCAACTCACTTCTTGTTATTGGAGCAGTGGGAGGTGATAAAATGAGATTATTTTTGGAATTATTGCAGTTGCTGACCACAGGTCCAAAAAAGCCACAATTCAATGGGGCAAGCAGCTACATAAAAAAAAAATTTTCAACAACAACAAAGTCAATGGCCCCAGCGTATTCAATGTCCCTACAGAGAACTCATGCTCCGAACGGCCAGATCTTGAGTAGATATCGCTGGTCAGAATATTTTCTGACAACCTCAACTGACCCTCTAGATAGGGAGTGGTCCCGTCGGGACGTCTATAGCAGAAGGAAGTGGTACGTCTAGTTGTAGACAACAGCAGTTAGGTCGAGTGCAGAGAACGCTGGCTCAAGCACTCTCTGGGAACGTCAAGCAGACATCGACACACAGGGCTTAGCCCCTCCAGGACGTCTGTTATACCAGAAGGGCGATCGCGCTCTCCCTGGCTGGTATCAAAGACAAGACACATTATGCTTCACACCTCCCCCTCTATACGTGGTTGTGTCAAACATCCTACTCGTGCGATTGTGCTGCGGAGATTTAAAAAGCGCATGGCATGAACGTGGACGCAAGGACCGGTGGTTACATTCGCCCCGTCCTGCCTGGCCTCCTCGCTAATTACAGGAAGCCATCGTAATTTGATTTATTTACGGCTCGTTTTGTACAAAGAGGCATTGCTGTTGTGTGAGATGCGACATCACCGTTGTTGCGGGGGGGGGGGGGGGGGCGCCCTTGATTTCGCATCACTTCAGTGGGAAACCGTAACCTGCTGTAGACTAACGGTCTTGAAACTAAAACATCGTTCGTGTTGTTCCAAGTGCGCTTATTAATCTTGGCGCGGCTGCGTGCGCAACAGGCACTGTTTACAGTCCCTCCCCTCTAGGATATCGCCTGCGGGGAGATGGGGGGGGGGGGTGATGAATTTCAGCTCTTAATACATCAAATTCAGATTCATTCACGAATAGTAATGTGCAAGTGTGGCACTGCTCAATGTTTCATATGTATTTTTCCGTGCTATAAATCCAGCAACCCGAGTTCAATTTCCCCCTCACGACCAATAACAGTGCCGAAGAACTGAACTGGTCCTGCGCCTCCCCTAGGTCGACTCAGCCTTAAACGTTGAGTGCCCGCTGCTGTGTGTAAACATCAGCGACGGGGAGACAAAGGCAGCCAGATGGGATTCTGGCCACCCACTGCCTCGTAGGCTGTACCATCTTTAAGAAGGTGCTCACTAACCGCTTATTAATGTCACAAGTCTATAAGGGGGAGTGGGGAATCTTTGTAAGTGAGGTCGGGGGGTGGGCTCCGTGCTCACCGATGCGGAAGTCGCTGGTCACGTCCTTCATCCTGCGCTGCAGCTCCGTGCCGAGCTTCTTCACGTTCTCTAGGTCGTCCTTCATGGAGTAGGACAGGTCCATCAGGTAGTAGAGATCGATGGGGTAGTCCTCTGCACGGCGGAACGTCACGTTGAACACCTGCGGCTCACCTGCACGCGGTTAGGCGACGTCATTCGTCAAGAGAAAGTCGACGCATGTTCGCGCGCGTCTTAGACCACTTACCACACTTGAGAATGTTTTGAAACAGCAGCTATCAAGAAGGTTACAATGCGATATACTGTAATGTTTATATTTTATAAAGCAATAGAGCTGTGTTTGGTTCACTGCACTATGAACCCTGCGGAAAGCGGACCTGAGATCGATTCCCATCTACGGCTAGCATTAGTGGCAAGTCATGTACCTGAACCTGTAGTGCCTCCCAACCCACCTAAAAAACCAGCACCATCTGAATTGTTGATTATGCTGCCTCGCCCGCCCCCTCTTCGCACAGCTTCACAAGGCTGCATTGATAAGGGTGGTGAAGTATGGTCAAACAACCTCCAATCCAGTATTGGATTGTCAAATTTGTGTTATCATTAGTCATAGCTATTAAAGCATCTCAATACAATGTGAGAACATAAACACACCATTGGAACCTCATTTGCCAGTAAAAAATATGATAATTGTTTTTTTACCCTTCTATCTGGCAACAAAACTGACACCTTTTTTTACAAGGAGTCATGTTTGCATAGACCACAATACCTGCAGTCATAATGCAAACAAAAAACATAACTCTGTATGCACTGTACTTGAAGTTGATTGGTCCACACCCGAGACAGCTTTCCTTAGAGCCTAGTCTCACATGGGTTGGACCAGATGACACAAAAAGGCGCACAACTCAAAGACAATGCACCATCAGAGTATGAGAGTATGGGGTAAGCATTTACACCATTGGAACCTCATTTGCCAGTAAAAAATATGATAATTGTTTTTTTACCCTTCTATCTGGCAACAAAACTGACACCTTTTTTACAAGGAGTCATGTTTGCATAGATCACAATATCTGCAGTCATCGGTTTTGTCGTGTGACTTCGAGCCGTGCATGCGGTGTTGATGCACTAATTCATTGCCATTGCAGCACGTTTACATGCATAATGACAATAGCGCCTGCATGCGGCATGAGGGGACTAGTGGCCACGGGAGTTAATGTCAGGGAGGTCAACCGACAGTACGAATGCACTAATCCCCTCACACCGCATGCAGGCTCTATTTTCATTACACATGTTTTGGCACACAGCGTCATTTATGTGCTGTGAAGACGAGCCGTCGCCCGAAACTTCGCCTATCATATAAGTGTATTTTTCCTTTCATGGAAGTGCAATTGACGAATTTGTTTGTGTTAAATGTGCTTGTGAGCCACTGTAACGCTTCCTCACTAAATTATCTGCACCTAGGCTGGCCGCATTTTCAACAGACCAAGCCCTGACAAGCTTCTCAGTCAGCCTAGGTCATGGGTCGGCAATCTGCGGCTCCAGAACCGCATGGGTCTCTTTAAGGACTGCTTTGTGACATTATTTATTAAGGACCGTCTCGTATTCACACGCATTAACGGCCCTTGAAACATTTTCTTATTACCGAATTCGAAAAAATGTCTCTTCTTGTTAGTTTGGTTTTGGCAACCCCTGGCCTAGGTCTACCAAAACTGTGCAGTGCATAGAGCGATGAGGAGGACGAGTAGTGTGGGTAGGTGGGTGTGTGTGGGAGTGTGTGGTGTGTGTGGGAGGGGGTCAGACGTCTCACCCACACCGAGAGTGCGTGCGAGGGCGTGGGTGGCGAGTGTGGCTGCAGTGCGCAGGGCTACGCACCCGACCGCAGGCGCAGCGTGAGTCTCTGCGGGGCGACCTGTGTGATGTGGTCGGGCGATAGCTTTTGCCCACGCTCGCTGAGCGGGCGGTCGAGCAGCAGCGCCTGGCTGCCCCGGGGATTCTCCGTGCGCTCCGCGCCACAGCCCCGCTCGCGCAGGTTCTCCACGTAGTCGCAGCGTGCCGAGTTGGGCTCCCCGACCTCGGTGAAGTTCTGAGCGGTGGGTGGTGGGGTGGGCATGACGTGTGAAGATATGGCTTGTGAGTTCGTGGGGTTGGTCGGTCGGCAGGGTTTGGGGTCGAGATGTTAACTACCTCGCCTGGTCTGCAGGAGGTCATGGGTTCGATCGCAACCCTGATGATGCCTATATATTTGAAGTTTGCATGTTGTCTCCTTGGATTTCTTGCCAGGACCTCCTGTGTTTCCCTCCACATTGAGAATCAACATGCGTTTAAGCGTATTTGGCTGCTTTAAATTTCCACGTTATAAGCCACTTGTTTGAGCGATCATTTATCGCCATGTCATTTCTGAAAAAGAGTTATATAGCTCAGTGGGCCTTACGTAGTAATATTAAAAATTGTTTAGTTTCGTGGTTTAGCTAAAGCCAGTGGTGTAGCGTGGTTACTGGACCCGAGTGCAAGGAATGAAATTGGGAGGCCCCCTGCCCAATTGCCCTCCTTTGTAGCCTGGTGCCTGGGCCCCTGTGACCCATGGACTCCTGGTACAGTTGCACCGCCTGTACACTCGATGCCTACGCCACTACTTAAGGTGCGGGAGGAGCAAATGTAGGTGGATCGGCATGTGTATTTCGAGCATTTCTATGCGTATCTGTGCATGTAGCTATATATGTCTGTGTATGGACGTCTGCGTGTGTTTATATGTGTCTTATGTGTATTTCTACGTGTGTATGTGCATGCGTGTGCATGTATGCAAGTAGGTGTGTGTTGTAGTGCAGTCGTAAGCGCTCTCTAAGACCAATCTGGTGACCCGAGTTCGATTCCTGCTCACGGCCAACATCAGTGACAATTATCTGAACCGGTCCTGGGCCTCCCTAAGGTCGACTCAGCCTCAAATGAGTACTTGGTGCAGTTGTGTAAACATCAGCAAATGGGGAGACAAAGGCGGCCAGACAGGATTTTGGCCACTCACTCCATCGTGTGCTGTGCCGGCGTTCATGGGTGTTCGTGAACAGCACTTTCCCCAAAAGTACTTTAAGGCTATACGGGGAATCTTTGTCCTTGTCTGTAAGTCTTCTATGTCTCGACGAGAATGTATTTACATGTCTGTGTGCGTGTGTGTGCGTTATGAGCCTCTACTTAACAGATTTTGTGCACCAGCTGCAGCGGCTCCCTGTCTGGATGCATTCACCGCATGACTTCGCGTTGGCCAAAAGACACTCATTTCGCAATTCTGCAACAACATATGCATACATACATGAACGCGCGCACACACACATACACACAGGACACAGAGCGACATTCTTCAATTACCCTTAGAATCTATCATGGAATGTGCTGTTCCGAGCACCTATTTCACGTGCGACACTGCACATGAGGGGTGATGGGGCCCAACGTAACACCTGGCCATCTTCGTCTCCCCAGTGCTATGTGTTATCCACAACCAGCACACAGGGTACTAATTTTGGGCTGAGTACACCGAGCGTGATGGCCAGTTGGGGAGAAGTTTGGTAAAAAAAAGCACTGAAGGCAGACATGGCGTGGCCTTCATCCAGCAGTGTATTGACAAAGGGCTATGAGTTTAACATTGCTTTAATAGTCTGAGCCTAGACTAGATATTTCACTTGTCGGCACCACCTGGGGTGGTATAAATGTCGTGGTTCCGATTTCTGTATGTGGTCAATAACAGTCATTAATGTGATAACATATGCATTGTGTGGGCTATCAAGTAATTCACTTTTATTAACCACGTAAAAACGCCTTGCTACCTTAGGTGGTACCAATCTTTGATTTGGCCCAGAGACTATAACCCCAAGTGAGCCCCACCAAGCTTCAGGTAACAATTTCCAACATTGTGCATAGCCCAAAACTTAGGTGGTGTGTTTAGTTTGCGATGTAGACGTTTGAACACTGCAACCAGTGTGTGCCTGTATTGCAACACACGCACACACACATAGCACAAGCAGCACACGTGTGCCCATGTGCACAGGCTATAGAGTAGCTGCTCTGTGCGCTATAATGGTGCGAGTCATTGCACGGCAGCCCGATGGCAATCCACTGCTGCTTGTTGGTCATGGGGTTCGTTTCACCATACTTCACCACGCCGGTCAGTGCAGATTGGTGAAACGGGGCGAGAGGCCAGGTCCGGTTCAGATATCACTCACAACCAGTGGCTGCTCCTGCAAAATCTCTCAGGGGGGGCAAATGTCTGGATGATTGATAAGGATAAGGTCCACCCATGCAATGGATAAATTAACAGCTTAAGCATGTAAAGGCAACTTCACTTCTTTAATATTAATGAAAAATAAAGTGACTCTTACAATACATCTTGTTTGTTTCTATACTCACTATTAAAACAAACCACTCAAGTTTATTTTATGAAAGATTCCACTAGGTAGCGATAAATTATATTGTTGGATGAAACGTGCTTACGTATGATGACGTGAGCACGTATGATGACGTAAGCACGTTAGGGCGAGCCCTCCCGGAAGCCATAGAGAATGCATTGGAGCGCCCGCCGTTCGAAAAAAAACATCTTTCAATGTAAGTCTATGGGAACACTCTGGGCGATTCTCAGCCGGAGTGAAATCGCCCAAAAAGAGGCGGTACTCCACAGAACGTGACATGACGCTGATTGGACTATATCCAGAAGCACAGTGACGGCTCGCGTGACTCTGTGGTTCAATGACATTGGTGGTGCATCGCCCAATCGCCCTAATGAAGAAACCGCCCCTGCTCACAACTTGTGGCAGAGAACCGCGTGAGATGAGCTTGTGTACGCTCATGCTAACTAGATGGCATAATCCCCATATACACTGATGGGAGAGAAAAACATGCAGACACGAAGGTAGGAACTCAATCGTGTGTTAATAATCGCACTGCCTAATCGAATCTCTACTCCCTCATCTTTGCAATTCATTAAATCGCCAGGACAAGGTTTCATACAAACCTTACCCACTTCTCACTTGAAGGCCAGGTGGCTGATAGGATGTGTAATAATAAGACAAAAGGTGTATTATATTTCATGTAGAGGTACAGATATGTATTAGGATGCGATGCCCGATCCAGAAATACGAAAGGAGACATCACAGCGACAACAGTCCGCTGCTCCTCACGCGGTTACCTCACTTGGCCACCTGAGCGTGACATTGTAGTCGTCGCTCTGGCATCGACATGAGCCGTGCGACACAAGATGAAGAGAGATGTGAAGGATGCGTAATACGGCTCATTTATTTGGTCGCTTCTTCCGCACTGGGCGCCTTAACTCAATCTTCAGGGGCCGTTTGGGGATTCTATTTGAATGGCAGCGAACGCCTTGCAAAATTAACGTTGGATGGGGGCTCGCAAGTCACAGGCTTCGTGACCTCTCTCTCGCCAAAGCCGCCTCAGCGAACTCCCTCTGGGAAAGGGGGGTGAGGGAGAACCAGCCCAGAAGCTTGTAACGCACTCCTCATGAAAGACGCTCGTGAAATGCAGGAAGTCATCGGCTCTCTTCAAATCTCCTGTCTCCCTATGCCCCCCCCCCCACCACCACTGCTTAACCCAACAACAACACACCCTTCATTACGACCCCCCCCCCCCAAAACTCCCTCGGGTTATATTGTAGTCCATGGGCTCAGAGCACAAATTGGTACCACCTAAGGTAGCACAATACTCCAATATTAACTATGTATATGGCTGATAATAGAGATAAATGTTTATAGATGTTATATACGACGTACACGCCAAAGCTACGATTCGGGTTGTAACTTGTAATTAAACATCAGCCCGTGATCGATCCACTGGCTCCCCAAGTCGCCTTCTCCCCTCTCATTCTCCTGACGGTCACGTGACCACATTGCGCATCAGAAACACCGCTGCTCGATGAATCGATCATTGAGTTCGGCACACTTGCATTGACTCGCATAGGCGTGTGCCGTTCGATTAATACACTGTTGATAAGTAACTTAATGCCGATTAGCAATCCACTGCTGGATCAAGGCTTTCTCATGCTGCGTTGGGAAGGAGGATGGGGGGGGGGGCGTATTGGTGGTGGGCCATACTTCACCACGTTGGTCAAAGCGGGTTGGTGAAAGCCGGAAATCAATGGTTGTCCGACATCACGGTGACATGTTCTTTATTGCAAGGCCCGCGGGCCACTGGCAGCCCTTGATGGCCTTTAATGCGGCCCCTAACAATGCAGAAATGTGATTAACACCCCCTCCCCAATCGTGCTGTCACAAACCCAATGGTTTCAAATGTGTGGGAGCCCTCATCACTGATGTCTTATTGGGGAAAGTGGCTTCCCTCTGAAAACGAGTGAAGAACACTGGTGCATTGCGTGAACTGCTGCGTCAATCCCGTTTGTTAAATCATTAATGTGATATTCTTTGGGTCTTTCGGTAAAGTCACGTAGATAGGTTCAAAGAAAATAACAAAAAAACTACGACGTTTCGATCGCAATTCCTGCAGTCACGAAAGCTTTAAGTCAAGATTTAATGAATGTCATGTAATTGACGTAGTGTATTTGCGTGTGCCCCTTCCTGCCACTAGAGGCCGCTACATTCACCACTGTTAAAACATCAATGCTTGAATCGAAACGAGGCCCTTAATCGCAAAGGACGGGGCTTTGTGAGGTTCTTTTCTATTTTCAAGACGTGCAACTTTCCGAGTTTCTTTTTCAACAGATGACCACAAGGCTGGCACATGACGGCCAAGTCTTGCGAAAGTGTCATAGGATCCGTTATATCGCAGCATGTACATTGTTTGCCACACAGAACTTACAAGGGAGGTTAGATTGTATTCAGTCTGGTGAATCCACCATTTGCGGTGGCAAATACATGGCAACATAGCTTTGGTTTCTTGAATATGTCTGTGCTATGCTTTTGATACTGTCCTCTTGTATGCGTGGGTTTTCTCCACGCACCCTGGTTTCCTCCCAACACACAAAGTACAATGTCATTGGCCAAACATTGCAACGTAACACTTTCCTCTAAAAACAGTCTTGAGTTTCAGAATTTTCTCCAAAAAATAAATGAAGTACATCATCATCAAAATCTATTACGAGCTGACGGGTGGAGGGTGGCACAGCGGTTTGCACACTGCTGTATTAACCCGGCCACGTCAATTTGATTCTTGGCCACAAGTAGCACCATATACTTCGTTGGGCTTATCTGGGCAGATAATGGGCCTTGTTATCATTACTGTTCAATCGGACACCCAATAAAAAATATACACATTGTCATGCTGATGAATTCTGAGAGGGCACAGGATGGGTGCACGCGGAAGCCTTGTGAAATTCCTGTGAAACGTCTGCCCACACTCATGAACGAGATATCTCAAACACCACCACCGCTCGTTTGTAAACACAGCGCCAATGGCCAGAGACCATTTATAGTCAGCACAGCAGCATGGCTTTTATCTGGTAATGAAATCAGGATATCTATTAATCATTACAATGACAACATGGAATGTTTGTACAATTCATGAAAATAACGAAAAAAATAATTTGAAGCCTTTTGACTTACTCTCCCCTCTCACTCTACTCCCCTCCAAGCACTCTCTGCTCCTGCAACTATGGTTCTTTGTTTAAACCCCCAGTCAACTGCTGCTCCATTGCCTCAAACTCCCACCAGCTCTCCATGCTGTCGACTCCCTTTCCATGTTTATGTCCAGGCTCAAGACCTTCCGTTTTACCTCTGCCTTTGGCTCACGACCTTTATCTTTCTATAAAATAAGCATGCCCACTGTTCCGCCCAGTGTCCTCTATTATGGAATGTTAGGCTTAAATAATTTAACAGCAGAAGTTAATGCCAATTCTTATGTTTTTATGTGAAAATTTTACCAAACAGTCTTGTTATTCTTTCTGTGAGTTCATCTACAGGGCGGTAAGTCCCTATACTCCTATCACGCACCGATTAATTGTAATCGCAAAGGCATTACTACTATAATGAGCCAAGAATGTCTGTGTGTAACGCGCGTGACGTCACTCCACATGCCGCACCCCCCGTCATTAATATGCATGAGCAGGTGGGTTTTTACACTCACGCAGAAGAAGGTTGAGCGGAAATATTTTTTTCACAAATTCGCTTTAAGTTTGACATTTATTTATTGAAAGTTAATCTAATAAATAATTATACGATTTGCTGTTTTTATTTATTTCTTCAGCACTTGAAACAAAGGGTAAGTCTAATTTATGCTTCTACATTATGGTAAAATAGACATTTCTCGGTGATTTTCCAGAAATTGTATCAAATTCCAATGTATTTCAACCCCAGCGACCGAAAGCAGAAGAGAATAAAGTAGCAGAGCAGTGAATTTGAACAAATTGAAGGTCAGTTATATACAGTGCTACAGTGACATGAAGTGAGGTGTTTTATGACGTAGTTTTGTGCAAGATTCACTGCCATTAATACAGTGCTCCAGTGAAATGCAGTTAAGTGTTTGATAACATACTTTTGTGCAAGATTCACTGACGTTAAATTGACACAAAATACAATTATACTCTGCTCAATCTTTTCGTTAATATTACAGCTTCCGTCCTAGGACAGGCAAACAAGCTAGTGTAGGTATAAGGACTTCCAGCCCACCATATACGTGTGTGTGTGGAACTCGTACCTGGCTGACCCAGAGACAGCGTCAGAGTCAAGGTCACCAGCAGCGCCGCGCAGACACACCGACTCCACGCCATGCCTGCCACAAACACAAAGATTCCCTGTGTCACCTTGAACACACTGTTGGGGCCATTGCTGTTAGCGAGCACCTACTGCGGCCGCCACGTCTAACCAGGGTAGTTAAAACGGCTGGACCCACGCCTGGCTGACACACCGTCTCCCCAGTGCTGATGTTTATGCATCCACCGCTCCAGGTACTCGTTTTAGGCTGAGTCAAACCTAGAGGTATCTCAGAACAGGTTTTGTTGGCCATGACCTGGAATCGAACGCTGACATCACGCATACAAACACACGCAGAATAGACACAGCACAGCGATGATGGATGGGCTCGTACACCTCATTTATTTGTACTGTGCATCCAGGCCAATGGCTGACGCAAACAATAATTTTGCAAATAAGCATCGTCTGCAAGCACCGCACGTCCCAGACTCTGAGGAATCAGTAACTGTGCATCAAATTTATTTGCAGCTGGCATTGGGTCAAGGGTAGACAGAGGCAGAGAACATTCCATTATAAACATTTGTGCTGCATGCCTGTCTCGGCCTCATCTCTGGTTCTGTTCTTTCGAACTGTTTGCATCACCCTCATCCACTTCCATTATCTCAGTTGCTCTATACATCATCCATGTCCTTTATGACGGCGTTGTGCATACCGTATTATAAAATATATTGCTTCTCACCCTAAGTATGTGTCAGTAGTGGTACATTCCACAATCTGTGTTTGGTACAGCCCAGGATGATGGTTGCTTCCTGGAGCAGTCCCCCACCCCCAACCATTGCCCCCCCCCCACACACCCCCAAGGCCCCCTGGAGATGCATTCCACGGGGCTGCTGCTGCTGCTGCAGCTGGAAAGTTGACTGGACTCATCACCAAATACAAAGGGTGGTAAGAAGCACAATGATAGTTATTTTTTGTATAAAGTAATTCCTGTCAGCCAAGAAAAGCCAATGAAGTGGAACTCGCATTAGGGTCACCCTATTGCAGATTTGAAGAATTAACATCAACCAGAAGGGAGTGCTCCTACCAATAACATTTGGTAAACCAGTAGTAGCTGTTTATTAGCACGTCTTACTCTGTGGATGAGTCCCAGAAGGGCAAAACTGGTCCAGGGTTTGCGCGTGTAAACAAAGAGTGCTGGTTAATACAATTCTAGAACATCAAGAGGCCCGAATAACTAAATATGCATTTTATGTTTATATGGAGGTATGGAATAGAAGGTTATTAATTTACTATAAATACTAAATACTATTTTTTTTATATAGATGTTGTAGGCTTGGGTTGTAAGGTGGCCAGGGAGATTACAGGGCAGCAATGGATTGTTGAATTCAGTGCAGCCATGAGTGTCACTCCGTCGTGCAAGTGAGTTTTCTCCAAGTACTGCAGCTACACCAACGTGTACACAATCTGTACTGTATCTATATTTTGTAGCGTGCAATACTATTGCTGTAAAGAGAGAATGCATGGGAAATATAACGGCAATTCCCTATGTACAAGAAAACCTCAATGACTCTCTCGACTCTCTTCATCAGGGTCCTGTATTGGGATGTTGGGCCAATGCCATTAATTTGTGTTGGCATCATGTAATAGGAAACCAGTAAAGCTAGAAAAACCCCTCGCATATGAGGGGATGATACTCAAAGCTCCTGACGGATGGATTAAACAATCCATTGCTATGCTGCCATCTCGTGGTCTCCTCGCAGCCAAAGCCCTATAACAAGCAAGTGACATTGTCACCCACCATAATTTTAATTTGACCATTTAAGCTGTGTTAATTTTCATGTCCGTCACCTGATGTGTTGAAAGCAAATTGTGGGTCTTGTCTAATGAATCTGCCTTTATTTTGTCAATAGACTTATTTGGTTAGGTTACAGTTATATTTCAGCCAACAAAATTTACTCACAAAATTCACTACACATCGCAACTGCCTAGAAACAAACGTCTATCCAATGGGTCCATGGAAGTTAAGCAAATTCAAGTCTGGTTAGTGCTTGGATGGGTGGCTTACCATGGCATACCAGATGTTGTAAGCCTATGACTCATGACTGTGAGGTTTCAGTTGATGGCAGTTCAGTAGAGGGTGTGATCCACAGATGAATTTAGTCCACTCACTGGATTAAGTCTGCGGATTGAATCTATCTGTGTGAAGTTATGAGTGTCATCTTTTGGTATGCATGGGTTTCCTATGGGCCTTCCGATTTCCTCCCACATTAAGCCAAACACTCGATCCACGGTAATGGACAAACATCCCAGTGCAGAACCTTCCAGAAAAAGGGTCTTAAGAGTCAGGGAAGCTTTCCTGAGTAAGTCATTGCCATTCTTATTATTAGGATTGACGAGGTCACAGAGGGGTGAAACACGCTAATGCAAGACAGGAAAAGCCCTTTACACCAATAAATATCTTACATACATTTTCTGAACTATTAAAAAAAATGTTGGACTGTTCTGTTGCATCTAGAGCGGGGCAGTGGAATATGCCATCTCACAAAGGTCATTCACGAGGCATGCCATGCTTCACACCTTCAACAATTGATCAAAATCAGACGACACTTTTTGCAATATCACTCTGCCTTAAACAAGAAAAAAGTATATTATAGGCAATAATAGGCACTGTTTTGAACAATGGCCTTTCTTCACAGCACATAGGCCAGAGAGGTGGAGTGATTTGATGAGTTGTCACAATTCGTGATCGTGGATTCATTTTAGGAATATTTTATTTGTATCCCTCATTTGCATTTCATATTCATGTCTTCTTTGTCTAAAGTGGCTGTTCTTCCCTTTAGTCTACATCTAACATTTACATATCAACAACACATAATTTGCATGCATTTTCTCATTTTATACATTAATCGTGAGCATAAGAATATATTTAACCGCATAATTGATGTATCGTTACATGTCTGGTATCAATCATATCCTGCTCTCGAATATCACAAATCATAGCAAGCAAATGTAATTATCTCCGACCATCCATAAGTCCGGTGGTGTAGCTATCGAGTATGCAGGTGGTTCAACTGCATCAGGGCCTATAAGTCAGAGGGGCCCAGGACCTGGCCTAATAGGAGGGAAGGAAATTTGACATTTAATTCCTAGCACCAGGACCCATGCCAACAATGCCACGCCACTGCATGCAAATACGGTCTTAGGAAAGGCCTTGAAATTCTGCAAAGGCGCTCCTTCTCCACATAGGTACACAAACGCAAGAACATAAACAATGTGTTCATAATGTAGCTGCAGTTATTTATCAGTTGTATGATGTTGGCTATATATGGGCACCCACTGTTATTCTTGTAAATAGTTAATGTTACCTAAATTTTAGTATCCACTTCATAGCAGAATCCCTACTTTCAACGCTGTCATCCTGAGTTCAAATTCAGGTCTCAGCCACTTGGAATAACTTCGGATTTTCAAGTGTGGTAATGGTCTCAGCCCGGGGTTCAAATGACTGTAGAAAACAGTATTATGTCAAATTGGGATTTTCACTAAAGGTGGCTGAATTCCAACTCTAAGACTGCAACATTTCAAGTGATGAAGGCAATGCCACTAAATGAGCCATCAATTCCAAACAGATGAGCAAGAGATCACTTCTGTCAGGGGTCAAGATGTGATATGACCCTAACCGTGCACAACTTGGATTGTGAGTCAATTTAGCAGGCCCCCATGAGCAGGAATGTTTATGGAGCACTCATCTGCAATAGGGGCTGTTCTCTTCGCTTGCCTGCATGCACCACCGCCATCCCCACTACCGTCCACTCTGCAGAAATTACTAACGGGGCATGGGGACGCTATGGCTGGGAGCTTTGACGCATGACTGTAATGTCTCGATATCATCACACGACATTCACAAACTAATTTATCCCTTTATCGAGGTACTTGTACAATTGCCCGTTACTGTGTGGATGCTTGGGGGAAACTTGAGTTTTCAGTCATGTTCCTTGAGTACTAACAAAATGGTTCAGATTTTTTCTTCACGTGTTTACCAGGGGTGAAAACATCTCGTGTGCTATTGAGAGGTAAACTGTTACATCACTGTACCTTGAGAGACAGTGATGGCTTAGGGAGGCCTTTATTCAGCAGTGGACTGATCACAGCTCGTGACAATAACACCTCAAACGTGCCAATATCCACAAAAGAAAGTGTGTTGAATGCGCTTGCAGTGTAGAAGTCAGTCTACCCACCCGTGCTATTTATGCAAAAATAACCTGTGTTCGAAGGAGCTGCACCTTACAAAAGATAATCTTTATCCTTTGAGCCGGGAGATGAAATTCGAGAAGGTATAATCTTCTCAAAATAAACGCGGTGCGGTCAAAACCCTCTGCATTTTAACGGGTAGTAATTGCACACAGAGGTCCATCCAGACAAAGGAATGTTTGTTTTGAGTTATAACTGCACGACACACGGTCACATGACGCGCACATGGTATTGCGTATTCCTTCAACATGTGTTTTTCCATCATGGATTAATGGAGGCGGACCAGAGTGAGGAGGCTTTGGCTCGATCGGTGGTGGGGACGGAGAGTGAGAAGATGGGAGGGAAGGTTTGGCAACCGTTTGAGAAAGGGCAGTCAGCTCAAAGCAGCAGCAAGCAGATGGGGCCTGTTTCTTCCAATAATAGTAATACAATATATATTGAAAGAGGCAGCATGTGACCTGCGGGAGCATAATGCTCCTTCACTGTCGCTTAAAGCAACTTGAGCTATTTCCAGTAGAATTCCAGGAAATTTACATATTTATCTCACGTACTGTATGTATCTGTGATGTTCAACATAAACTTTGTTGTGGACTGACAAAGGGCGGATTTACAAAACACCCTAACTGTTGGGGTGATAATTCTAAGAAAATTGTAGTAACTGTTGCGCTGCAGAAACGGTGCAGTGGTTCGCATACTGCGCTGTGATCCCAGCGCCACGAGGTTGGATCCTGGCCACGGCGAGCATCAGTGGCGAGTAATATCTGAACCGGTCCTCGGCTCGCACTTCACTTTACCAAACCACACTGACCAGCGTGGTGAAATATGGTAAAA